GGATGTGTGGCTTTCAAGGCGTAGCACGAATGGTGTTCGTGCCTGCTTTGACAATTGTTGTCGATTTTAATGATATTTTTAAGTTGGGGTAAAAAGAAATCGGCAAAAGCTAAGGTGATACTATTGTGTGTATATCACACCTGGGCATCGCAATGTTAAGTACATGTGGGAAAGCCAGCCTTTGTCAAATACTACGAAGTTATTAATTCAGTACGGTACGTAGTTGCCCATTTGCCGAAATTACATATTTACTTACCCCTTATGGTTTCAAATAGTTTCATGCACCTCCAGTTAGATTTTTTAATCAGTGAGGATATATACTCATTGTTGATTGCTGCTCATTGTAACATACTATTGGCATTCACTTTTATTTCCGTACTGAATCACCGAACATTTCACTCATACCGGTCTATATTGTATAGTCTGATCTCTCAAGTATTTGGAGCCACGAATGCTTAATTTTCTGAAACCCTTTTATTAGTTGGTTTATATACAAATTCAGTAAAATATTTTTACATAAAACATGAGATATTGGATTTATTAGCTTTTCCAATCTAAATCAAATAGACTGCTTATTTATTCCTAACGAAAATTAATAAATCTCTCTTTCTTCAGATGTGAAAGTTGTGGAAAACCTGTCTAAGCATTGTGAGACTCTTGCAGCACAGAGGCAATAGCAGAAATAGTAAGTATATCAATCAAGAAATTAAGCCGACATAAAGCAAAACTTTCAACTATTCGTCTAATCTCAATTTCCTATTATTTATTTACAGGACAACTATAGCAGAGGGGGAGATATCAGAAGTCTGGCGACATATCAGTGACCGTGTGATTCCAAGAAATATAATTAGAGTACTCCATAAATGTTTGCAATAGAAAAACAACCTATGGAGGCATGCAAAGACATTTGACCCTCCGGTAGAGTTGTGTATGGCCGCCCCCACATCCTGCAGGGCTAGGAAATAACTAAAAATTCCAAGCGTAAGATTGCATAAGCGGTCTTTTTGTAAAAAGGCACAAAACACGCCAGACAAACTTAAAACAGCTTTGGAAAATGAGGATTACGGGTAACTCACTGCACCTATGTTATATTTGGTTCATCAACTTTTGGTAGTATTATAGAAGAAATTCCGGAAGGGGTATAATCAATCATTCATTAAATAACTTCAATCATATTTTTAAACTCAGACCAGGGATCTCTCCCAGAGAACTTCCAGTGCGGCCCTCGAACGCTTAACAATAATTGTAATAGTATTTTGGAAGTTTTTTTTTTATCTAAATGTAATAGATTTTTCAAATCTTTCAAAGTGAAATTGATTATTCACACAGAAAACAATTTACTGAAAGTAGTTTTGGAATATTAATTTTTTTCGTTCACATTTTGACCCAATTAAGAAACACATCAAGCTAGCAAATGAATACTTGATGAAATTAAACGCAAATTACATGAAGAATGTGGCATTTTCGAAGAAAATGAGAGTTGCAGCATTTCTGCTTTTTACAAAATTCTGAAGCACATTGTTTAATTTGTCATATTTCCATCAATACAATAAAAAAACACAATAAGCTCAGCAGTCAATATGACAAATTCGAAGACCAACTTCGAACAGAAAATTTCCATGTGTTTGTATATTAATATAATTATACAACGACTTAGTAACTGAAAATCAGTATCAATAATAATTCAAGCAATCCTATGCCACGCAATGTGGTGCAAAATGTCTTGTCGAAAAAATCTGTCATTTGTTGTTTTACTGATCTATGCTTTAAATGATAAAAGTAACTTTTTTGCATTAATGGAATTAATTAAACATTCGCAAAGATCCAGATTAACCCATGATCATGCGGCCTATTAGAGTTAGTACTATAAAATCATTTCAGCCTGGCCTTAGTATGCTGGTGACACAAAAAAGATGCCAAACGTCAGGACAATGGAATTATTTAAAAAATTTAGTTTATACTGTAGTAGTTAATATATTTAATAAGTTATTTTTAGTGTATGTGTTATTCTTTCCTTATTCAAAGCTTGTTCAAAAATGATTTTGACGGTTGTACATAGAATTTTATGATTTTTTATAATAAAATTATTTTTATAAATAAATTTTTTATAATAAAATACAGTAACTTGCAAATGTTGCAATAATAGTGGAATGCAAGTATTAATATGTAATTGCATTTGAAATTGAAGAAAATAATAAAACTTAATCCAACTGTTTAGTTGCATCACAGTATATGTCACAAGCTAAAACTATCTTAAAAATATCTTCTAAGTATACATTATCAAAAACTGTTTGCGGCTCTTTTTACAATTTCCAAAATGCAATGCCGCTCTCGAAAACCCATGAGTTTGACACCACTGATTTATTCTAGACGATTCCAGCATTGTTTTGGGAAATAATATCACTTCAATTAAATTAAATAATCTCGCTATATTAAATACAAAATCGTTGCTATCATAAAGGTAAACCAATTCAGCCACTCGAAATATATTGGCCTTCACAAAGCAATGGAGGCAAAATTGAGAGTTCATGAGCTATGAACATTTGTTCTTTTCTTTGTCTAACTTTAACTTGTATTTTCTGTCATGATGTATTATCTCAATGTGCCAAACTATTAATTAGTGTGCATATTTTGCTTCCAGATGACATAAATGTATTGTCTTGTTTATTACCTCAGTAATAAGTAGTATTGACAAGAAAAAGGTGCCAGTAAATTAGGTAAAAAAAAATTTTCTCTTTGTTAGTTAACTCTTTGTTATAATCAAAATTCACAATCAATAGGAATTATAAACATCCAACAATCAATGAGAATTATATGCGAAATCCCTCAGAATAAATTTGTCTAAAATCGGAGGAAGGCAAAAAATATAGGTAGTTTCCATCCACACAAGCATTTCAAGAAGACTTGCTCGAGCCAAACTAAATGAGCATCGTCAGGTGATCGGTAAGGCTGCAAGTTGAAATCAGCCCTGCAACCTCCTGCATGGTTGGGCTATGAGCTAAATTTAAACAAACCTATCTACGATGCATTATGTACCAGCAATGTTACCTACGATTAACTGAATATGTAATATGTCTAATAAATTCACCTGCAAAGCAAGTTCGATAGGTGCAAACTTTGTGTTATGGAATTGTATCACAGCACAGTTTTGTATGACACCTCTTTAAATGAAATTTCAATGATTAAGCGCAAACATTAAAACTAACTTTGAACTATGTATCTATTATCTGCAAAATGTTCCACATAAATCTTTCCGCTATCGCGTTTGTAATCTTCTCTGATAAAAAAACGTCTATGATGTCCAGAATTGCTCTTTACAGCTTTCCAAGTGAGCAAAACTTCTTAGATATAGAGATTATTTTGTTTCGTTACAGGCGCAAAAAGGCAGGTACTACACGTAAAAAAGACGCCGAGTAGCAAAAGCGAGCGGAAAACGGACGCGAAAGGCGGCGAGAAATATGTGCATCGTATCCAATCTTTTGCCTGTAGTCTTATGGAGTGACGTCAGAGTTGCCTATCATGTTGTTTCATGTCATTGGTGGAACCAATCGGCAGCTTTAATGATACCGCTGTTAGGCCTACTTTGTTGTTTTCACTCATATTCTTCGTTATGTGGGTATTCTTTTCTCAAAAGTATGCTTTTGAGGTCGGGGTCACCATTTGAAGCGAACCAACTTCTTTCTAACAAGAAAAAGACTTTCAATTATGTTGATGTTTAATCCATAACAAAGCAATGATAACGACAAGCGAACAGAAAACAGAATGACAAGTTATCGTAAGAAAAGCACGTAAGTAATCATGCGTGACAAAAACATAAACAAAACAATTGTGACTCATAACGGCTATTACTTATGTGGTTCGCCACAGGCTCTAATTTGGGGAATGAAATGGTCTCGCCCCCTCTTCAAGCACCCAATTCTGGCAACTCGGCATTTGACTCCAACTATAATCAGCTTGGCAATATGTTTTCAATAGAATCTTCCTTTTATACTTTAATTAACGACTAGAAGATCGATCAATTTGGCAATGGCAACCATTACAAAATTATCAATAGGGTGTGGCAAATAATTTTTTTCTTTTTCTAATATTTATTTTTTGTTTACAGTATAGTATACCCTAAATATATCGCATATTATTCTTACTTAAACAAGAGAGCTATGCTCAAATATATGGACACGTAGAGTCACATAATTTTGATGACGTCATAGCGAAAAAAAAAGTTATAGCCTTCTGGAATTTTTATCTTCAACCACTGAAAATTTCAAAGCAATTGGTCCAGTATTCGAAGAAAAAAGCGATTTCTTCAAAACGTGTTGATGAAGACAAATATTAACAATAACAACAAAATTTTGAAACGATCGTTATGTCCACTACGTGTCCAATAACTTCTCTGTGTGTGTGTGGCTGGTGGGTGCATGTGAGCGTGTGTGAAATAACTTGATAATTTTAGGTGAGTAAACACGTATCACTTCCTCTTGGCAAAACCTTCCATCTTATATTTTGTACGTTATAAACCTTATCTAGGTTTCGTTGGCACCCCTGATTTCATAATCAGTTTTTATTTATTTGTTTTTATCTGTCAAATTCGCTGTATAATTAAGATATAGTTGACTAGTGTTAAATAATATCATAGCCTATAATGGACACTCTAAAAATGGAATGTTGAATCATCTGGTGTTGATTCGTCAAATGAACTATAACATCTGTTCACAACATCAATCTGACTGTCTGTGGATTCAAGGAAGGACAATATGCCATATTCAAGATCAAGCGATCCCCCTCCTGAACCCCCGAAACGTAAAAGTCCAACTGAACGTCAAGCAGCATGTACTTCTTCAGCATCCAACTTAACAGAACACAATATATCCAATTTAGTCTCCATACTTGAGAGCACAATTCTAAAGACACTGCGCCTGGAAATACCGGCTATAATTGAACAGCACATTGAAAAATTAGCTCTGGATCTCTCTTCAACCACCCCAGCAGAATCTCTATCATCTCTGGATGAATCTATAAAACAAATGAAAACTCAGTTATCCTCGATCAATGTCATTAAAGATGAGGTTGGAGAAATAAAGACAAGCCAAGAATTCATTGCCAGAAAGTTTGACGAACTTAATGCCAATTATGACAAACTGAGCACCATCACAGTTAAAAACACCCGAAGAATTCGTCAACTTATTGTGAAGAACTAGAAAAAGAAATAGATATCCTTACTGAACGCCAATACGACCAGGAGCGTAGGTCAAGGCTGGATAATTTAGAATTTCACAATATACCCTACTCGCGTGATGAAGATTGTGAAAAATTAATTATGAAGGTAGCAGCACGAATAAATGTACCGCTGCAATCATCTGACATATCAAACTGTCACCGGATGTCAAAAGAAAACAACAAAAAGCCTTCACCAATTATTGTTAAATTTGTACGCAGAAAAACAAGGCATCAAATTCTAAAAAATCGTCGCCAACTGAGATCGGCCAATTTTCATGAAGATTTTCAGCATTTTACAAGATCTACTAGAATATTCATCATAGAAAACCTTAATGACAATAACAAGGACTTATTTTTTAAAGCAAGAGATCTTAAAAAAGAATGTGGATATAAATATCTATGGACACATAATGGAAAAGTTTTAATAAAAAAGAACGAAATGACAACTACCATCCCCATCAATAACGAAGATGACCTTTCTCTCATCTCTATTGATTATAAATATTCATACATTGTATAGTCAAAATAATTTTATGTATTACCCAAACATATATCAAAAATACCGGCCATTTATTTCCAGCCTGGAGAAAATATCTCTTACATTTCATACATGGCTTTAGCAAACGACCCTCAATTAGCTTATTCCTGTGACATTGAAACGTGCAATAATGTAGGAGTTGTTGATTTAAATTCTTCTCAATCAGTGTCTGACTTTTGTATTTTCCATGTGAACATTCGATCCCTGCAAAAAAATATTGATAAATTAACAACCCTATTATCTAATTTCTCATCCCCTCCACAAATAATTGCGATAAGCGAATCAAAGTTATCGTGTAACCCTGTTTCCAACACTAATATTGATGGGTATAGCTTTATACACATGCCATCCATCACAAAAGCAGGTGGTGTTGGTGCTTATATTCGAAACGATCTCATCTATAATGAAATTTCAGATTACAATCTCAATCACTCCAACTGTGAAAATATATGGTTTGAAATAAGTTCGGCCAACGCAGTCAATAAGATAATTGTTGGTGTTATATATAGGCATCCTCGTAATAATATTCCAAGCTTTACTAATGCATTTGAAGCATCTCTTGCTAAATTGGCAAAGAAACAGTTTTTGATACTAGGAGATTTTAACATTAACTTACTTACATTGTCAACTAATGCCCAAATTGCAAATTATGCCGATATGTTAATTTCTCACAATGCCAAGTCATTAATCACTAAGCCTACTAGAGTGACAGTATCATCACAACACTTATAGATCACATTTATACTAATATTTCAAATTTTAGAATCAAATCTCATGTAGTTCTCTCAGACATAACAGACCATTTTCCTGTTATGTGTTGCCTCAGTGGCATAAAACCAGCCCATACAAATTATGTCAAAATAGCAAGGGACATGTCAAAATTCTCGATCGATTGCTTTCGCACAGATACACAAGTAATTTTTCATAATTATATTGCTAGAAACAATTTGAGTTCCCAAAACTTTGATGGTGTTTTCAGCGAATTTGTAAAATCTTTTGTTCACCTGATTGATCGCCACGCCCCGCTTCGACCACTCTCACGTCGTCAAAAAAGGCTACGATCAAAACCATGGCTAACCAAAGGGCTGCTTGCTTCTATTCGCCACAAAAATAAGATGTTTGAATCCCACTTTTTGAAAGGGAACACTTCCGAACGCTCCTATTTCAAAAAGTATAGAAATGTTTTGATTAGAGCCATAGATGATTCAAAACAAACCTATTATCAAAACCTTATTGCTAAAAACAAAGGTAATCCTAGGTCAACATGGCAAACAGTTAACGAAATCACTCATGTAAAAAATAAATCTAATCAAAAAGTTAACGAGATCGATATTGAAAATGGCTCTATAATTAGAGATGAACTTTTGATTGCTACAGAATTTAATAAGTATTTTTCTACAATTGGGTCTAGCCTTTCAGGCAAGTTTTCCACTGAACAGGATAGCTTTTTTTTCTTCACAATTGTATAAACCAGTCCATCTTCATGAGCCCAGCGACTACAAATGAATTGATAATAGAAATACATAATTTGAAAGACAGGAAGGCAGTTGGTCCAGACAACATACCAGCACGTTTCCTTAAATTAGTTGCTGATCTCATTGCACCATGTTTGGCTGAATTCTTCAATTGTTCACTTTTGTTTGGAATCTTCCCTGCATGTCTCAAAATTGCCCGAGTGATCCCTCTTTTCAAATCTGGCAATAAAAAATGTATGTCAAATTACAGACCAATTTCAATTCTTTCATCAATAAGTAAAATATTTGAGCGTTTGATTCATAAGCGACTCAATGCTTTTTTTACGAAACATGATGTAATAAATAAATCACAGTTTGGCTTCCAAAATAATCTATCTACATCACATGCTATCTTAGACACAATATCATATATCTACGATAAACTAGAGAGGAAGGAGTTTGTCAGTGCAACATTCCTAGATCTAAGGAAGGCCTTCGATACCGTAAATCATAACATCCTGATTTACAAGTTGAGACATTTCGGTATCAGGGGTACAGCAAACAAACTCATTTCTAGTTATTTAAGTAATAGATCACAATATGTTCAAGTTGGGTCGTGTCGTTCCTCTCCCTTACCAGTGACTCACGGAGTTCCTCAAGGTAGTTGCTTGGGTCCTCTTCTATTTCTAGTCTATGTAAATGACATAACTTGTTGTTCCTCCTTCTTTACCAAATTGTTTGCTGATGATACCAATCTTCTCGACAGCGACAAATCTTGTGCAGTTCTTCAGTTGAGAGTAAATTCTGAAATTGCGAAAGTATCAAATTGGATGCGGTCTAATAAACTAACACTGAACATTGGCAAATCAAAAACTATGTTAATATCTCCACACCAGTGCAAATCTAAAAATGAAACAGTAATACAAATTGATGACAAAGAACTTGAAAATGTCCATTCTTATAAATATCTTGGCATATATTTAGATAGTAAAATGAATTGGGATGTTCACTTATCCAAATTATCCGTTAAATTATCTAAATCGGTTGGAATACTTTACAAGCTTAGACGATTTACATCACAACAACACTAAGGATGGTGTACTACTCCTTATTCCAGAGCCATATCCAATACGGCATAATTGCTTGGGGTTCAGCTGTTAAAACATTATTACATCGCATTGAAATTATGCAGAACCGAGCAATCCGTGCAATATCTGCCGCTAGTTATTTTTCACGACTCAGTCCTATTTATTATAACCTTCAAATTATTAAATTGGCAGACATTTACAAAATAGAAGTTTTGAAATTGATGCACCAACACCACTGCAAAAAACTCCCTCCTGCGTTCACAAACTATTTTTCAAAACAAAGCAATGTTCACTCATATGGAACACGGTCCTCTATTAGCAGTTCTTATTATGTAAATCGTTTTAGCACCAAACTCACCCAAAACTCAATCAAGTTTGTTGGTGTTAAATTGTGGAATAATCTCCCCAATAGCATTAGGACCAGTACCTATAACTTGTATAAACATGCACTGAAGAGCCTATACCTAGATGCTTATAAGCCCAGTTGCAATTAGTCTAGAAATATTATATTTGTATACCGGTATGTACCGTACCTATCCCTGTGGTGCTGCTTTTCCCATCCATGTTCGTCAAGTTGTGTGCTCGCTGTGTACTGTTCTTGTTTTAATATTTTCCGCCCAACCTATATGCCACGAATACTGCAGAACCCATAATTATTCTGCACTACTCTAATAGCCACTAACAATCGCTTTCAACATAAAAATCCGTTAAATACGGTATTGATTCTCGCAGCCAGAAGCCCGTTGCTGGGCACGCCATATTGGTTTACTGTGTATGCTTAGTCAGCATTATTTCGCAATTCTTTGTTGTCATTGAGGCATATCCTTCTTACAGATGTCGCTGTTAAGTCATATAATACGATGTGATCATTGTAGTATCTCGGTGTTTATTTCGATTTTATTTTGTTCTTACTCTGTATGATCGAGTTTAATTAGGTAAATATCTAATACTCCATAGTTATTATATTTATTTTTCAAACTTTGTTGTTCCTTTTTGTGATTGAGGCTAATTAAGTGAATGTTTAGGTAACTTTTCGTGGTCATTGTGGCATTCTTTTTGTGTCCCTTTTATATATATGATTGTGTCGAATTTAGTGACTATTTAATATTGAGTTGTTCGATTGCTATATTTGCTGCTTCAATGCAGCTACAAGGTGTCGCTGACTGGATGACTCTTTGAGTCTTTCGCGATCCCTCGTCTATTGCAACAAGCCGATATCCGTCTTCGTAATTTGTTATATGCCTTTTTTTATTTTTTCATATCGTATATTGGTTTTTGCATGACGAAAATAAAATCTGAATCTGAATCTGTATTGTTATGCTAATTATGGAGTCGAAATAAACTCATACTTAAAAATTTCAAAGCAATTGGTCCAGTATTCGAAGAGGAAAACGATTTTTTAATGATAATGATGACGAATAACAAGAACAACAACATATTATTGAATGTCCACTAACGTGTCCCAATAAGTAGCTGAGTGTTCAAATACAGTAAGAAAAATGTTTCATCAAATAACTCACTCGGAAGAAAAGAGTCTGAACGGATTCGAAAACTCTGCTGATAAAAAAAGCTATAAAAAGACATGTTAGGTCGGCATTGGTGATCAGAGACAGGAGTGTAGCCAGGAATTTTCGAAGGGGATTCTGAACTTTGTAATTTTCAAGTTAGACCATAACAGCTAGCAGAACCGGCTCCATTACCGACTTTCGTACGACTCAACAGAGCGTGACGACTGCTGCCAGGACCACTTTTTGAGGGGACGCTATTTTGCTTTGTATTCGCATGTGGTTGGGCGGTAGATGATCCGAGAGACGTTGTACTGAAGTAGGTTTTTTCGTAATATGTCAGTGTTTTAAGGTACACGATAGACTAGTTTGACACGATATCCGGTCCTCTTACGGTACTGCATTACCGGTACGGGTGCACCACTGCCAGGTACTGTACAGGTACTCAACCCTACCGACAAATAGACCGTAGTACTGTACATGCAACTTAACATAAGTTAGTCAGTTTTAAATTTATAATATTAAAAAGACTGTTGAAGCAACATTTACACACAGCGGGCTTTTCGAAAAAGGTACGGATAGCAACCGCGCGTAGTCTGAAACGGCGCGGTAAGGCAAGCGTCCCCTCAAATTATGTTGCTGGCAGCATCGGTCAAAGGTCATGAAAGTTGGTAATGCCCGAAAACGTGAGTTTTTAACAGTCTTGAGGTCTAAAAAGAGTTTCAAGCTATGAAAAATTTCTATCATGTTTTTTTTTTACTTTTTGACCCTTATCTGATCAGAAATTCAAACTCAATATTTCAAACTTCAACAATCAACATTGTTAAGTCTGACACTTCGACTACCATGGTATTACAATTCTTTTTTATCAGTCTTCATTGTTCAAAATGTCTTCACCCCTTCAATTTCATGAAAAAAACACAGTCCTGCAAAATATTGTTCATATTTGTCCAATTTACTTCCGACTGTTTTAAAACACAAAAACAGCTAAAACGGTAAGTATATAGAGAGAACGGCGAGTCTGAATTCAGCAGTATAAAATCCATATCTAAATAGTTTCATATTACAGAATTCTACCCTGCTTGTCAGGATGTGATTATTCTGCCCAGTCATGCTTCAGTGACCATAAGCGGGAGAGCTTTTTGAGATTGAATAGTTGAATCCAGGGTAGGCAACCTTTAATACAAGAGGGCCAGACACAAATAACTTGGTGAAATCGCGGGACGCACCTTTTTAACATAGGCTTTCTAGTAGTGGCAGGCACAAAATGTTTGGCTATTGATCTTATGGCATGTGTAGTTCGCTTCTGTGACGTCATAAGCATAGATAATAAATTGAACTCGTGTATAAGCTATGCGATGCAAAAAGATTCGAATAACTGGCACGAACCAGATTGAACTGATAAAAACTCGTTTTACAGGCGCACACCTTTCAAAGTTGTCACTTCTGCGCGGATCACACAATTTTTTCTTATGGCCGCAGGTTGCACACCCCTGTGATAGGGCGTCCCTAGAGTTTGAAATGCTTCTAATAACAATATTGGAGTCCGGCAGAGTTTAGTTTGAATTGCTCTTATTGATATTGAAAAGCTGTATTCAAAGACTAGAGCAACGGTTCCCAACCGGGTATATTTAAAACTATAAATACCACTGGAATGATAAACAGGGGGCCAATGAGTCCTTAAAGCCTCAGGAAGGGAGCTGTTGATGGTTGGGAACCACCGGACTAAAAATTAGAGACTACTAGAGTAGAGCCCGGAGTCGATAATTCATATCTAAGCGCTCCGGAAATATTTGCACAAAGATGGCACACAACCTGAACTCTAACCTGGTACCTATACATCTTGGTGCACATACTTCGGGAGCCCCTTAATCTGTGGCATTATTTTCACTATCCATTGGAATATTCAGAGTAAAAAATACTTTCGGACACTAAGAATTAAAAATCAGCCAAGAACGCTGCGATTTACATCCAGTAAAGAAAAAAGCCGGCATTACACACTTAAATAATTCGGGCTTGGATGCTTCTTAATTATTCGTACCAAGATGGCGCACAACCTGAACATAGTATGTGTACCAGGGTAAGGTTGTTCAGGTTGTGCGTCATCTTGGTACGAATTCTTCCGGAGCACCTGGGCTTGTATATAAAGAGCAAAACTTGAACACACTCTGAGATTCTGATAATGTAAATGACATGCTCCTAAAAAATATGATAATCAGAAAAATACACCACCTTGCAAAAAAAAATACACTCGAATAAATACTTGAATAGTCACACATAACTGATACAAAAATATTGTTTCACCAAAAATTCGAACACAAAATCAGAGTTGTAGAGATGGGACACAGAGTCTTAGTTTTCTGTGGTCGAAATTTGGAATTTTCTCATTAATTATAGTTTCGGACTTCTAATGGTGATAATATAATTTCGACAAAAACTCAAAAATTAAGCCAAAGAAGTTTTCTTTACAGACAATTGAAGCGTGTATACGCAGAAGCGTAACCTGGCATTTTCAAAAGTGAAGGTTAATATTTGTTATTGCCAAGTTGGACCGTAATTGCTAGGTCTGTCCGGTGGTCTTCAAGAGTCCCATAAAGTGTTTTATGCTACAAAAAATTGCCTTTTTTACATTTCAAAGGGATGCCGAAGCAGATGGGTTTTCAAGAGTTCAAAAAGCATTTTATTTTACGAAAAATTGCTGTTTAAATCAGTTATATGCCTTTTTTACATTTAAAAAAGGAAGGAGCAACCTTCAAAACCCCCTGCTGGCTATGCCCCCTGTATATAGGCTACAGTTCTCATTATCAAATTTGGTTTCCAAAGTTCAGTCCTGGAATCATAATTAAAACTTCAAAAAAGATTCAATTCCTAACAGTCTATCAAAGAAGATCATAAATATAATATATATAGAGGGAACACCACATTTAAATGAGTAGATTGTCATAAGGAATTGTGTCGGTGTCTTTTATAATAATTATATGACAAACCCAGTCCACAAGCTATTCCTAACCCTATAGGACATGCCATACCCAGAATATAATCATATAATGTCAAATCTAAAATGCTTCATAAATACAGGGTGTCCATAAAGTCCGTTTACAATTTCAATTTTGTTATGAAATCAGTTATCAATATATCTTAACCAGGTTTGTTGTTTTTTAATCTGTAATTGTTAAAGTGTTTTTACCTTCATTTAATACCGCTGTGAGGGTCAAAACAATTTTATTCTATTTTACATCTCTGCTGTAATCTTGTTAATGTAAATATGAATATTACACAAATTTATTATTTTTTTTTGGGGGGGGGGGTTATTATCAAAAATATTTGTGACTATGGTGTTCCCGAAAAGCAAATACAAAGTGGTTGATATGTTGAATATACAGAAAATGAAAAAGCGAGGAGCACAACATAGGAGTTTATCTTGGAAAAAGAGGGGAGGGGGAGAAAAAACGGGGACCCCAAAAGATAGCACCCACTAGAGCGGTTTTCCTTCCTGGCTGGGACATTGAAATGGTGGGGGGAAAGGGGGTGTGAGAAAAAATGTCATAATCTCTCTGGGTCTTGTGTTGTGACCTCACCGCAGGCAAATGTACCCAAATTCTTAAAAAAACTTGAAAAACATGTCTAGATATATATGCTGTATACAGCTCTCAGTGAGACGACGAAAATTAAAGGGGGGAGAGGGGGTAGGGAAGGGTCAGAAAAAAAGTTCAGAGTCAGACTACAGTGATACCTAGCCACTGCCGGTTTGTTCAAATTGTCAATATTTATGCAAGTATGCTGAATCGTGATTTATATAAAATTTTACTCAAATTCAAATTTATCTGAAAAATTCCCCATCCTCAGAATTTTTTTTTTTTGTTGTTTCCAAATCTGTTTTACACTAAGATAAAAACACAATCAGTAAATATTACAGAAAAAATAGAACACGCTTTTTCACACAAAAGTATAAGTAAAATCAAAATAAAATCCCCTACTTTTTTACCCCCAGTGCTCCCCCCTTTTTTATAAAACACAATGCATTAAAACCTAATAATAATTCCTAATTTTTTATCTTTTTTTCTCAAATTATTTTTTCTTTGCATATTCGCAGAGGTCCTTCACGTCCATCATTGCTTTTTCGATGTTATCAGCAAATCGAGATGAGTTCTGATAAGATAAGGAGATAACATAAGAATGTAAATTAAAAGTGTAACCAGAGTCAGCGCCAGGTTAGAGTTAGGCCATAATTTTATCTTGATTCCTTATTTCAGTTCTATCACGAGTTTGGGTACTGTCTGTGTTAGCCAAGTAAATACACCCCCTTCCCATAGGTTTCAGTCTCATCACACAACTTGATGTAAAGTAGGCGAACAAAATTCGTTGCCGCCATATTGGTACACATACTTCTAGAGAGCCAAGATGATAATAAATCAATGATCAGGTGGTTAACGCACCTTTATTGAACATAG